TAGAGAGACACAAAAGGGACACAACTTGTGTATCTGGGATTCTTCTAAGGTTTTGTCTACACTTAAATATGTAAAGTGCTTCAAACTGAAAGTGTGGCCTTGACACAACTGCTGGGAGAGAGGTCTCCCAGCGCTTCATGTAAACCACCTGCATGAGGAGAGTAGCTAACACTGGTGCTTTACAGCTCTCTAACTTTCTGCTCTCAGGAGGTGGGAGGAGCCATTTTTCACACCTCTGTGCCAAAAATTTACAGTGCTATAAAATCCCAGGGCAGACTTAGCCAAAAGCATCCATCTTTCTCCAGAGAATGGAACCTTCTTCACAGCACAAGGCCTGCACTAGGGAAAAGAGGAACCCAAGGGGGTGAAGTTTGTTATTTTCTTACTGTAGCATTTTTGTTTCTTCTCTACTCACTTGACTGGATAGGAAACCCTCTAGTCCAAATACAGACCTGTGGTGAGCAACTGTAACATCATCGATTTCAGTGGAGGCTGAATATGACCCTCCTTATTTTTTTTAGTTGTTGCACAGAGCTTGGATGTTAAGAACAAGCAATGATTCTCAGAATGTCATGGCAACTTTTATAACATTGTGGTTGTAGAGTTAGGAAACTGAAAGTGGGTAGAGGGTGTGGAGCAGGTAATAGCTCTTGGAGAGTAAACTGAACCTTGTTAAGCAACAGAACATCAATAAAGAGAAAGATCACTCTTGAGCATGGGCCCCTCTATAAAAATGTTTATTGCCCAGGAGGCAGCGTGAATTTGGGTCACTGATTGATGATCTGCACAATTCTGGACTGAAAAGGGGTTGGCACCACTGGGATAGGTGGCTGAGTATGGGACTGAGGACTAGCAACTCCTAAAACCTAATCCTGGCTCTGATACCAAGTTAGTGTGTGGTCCAGAACTAGACAGTCTAGTTTTTCCATCTGTGAAACAGGGATAGTGCTTAATCCCCTACCTCATCAGGGTGTTTGGAGGGTGGACTGGTTGACATTTGAAGATGCCAAAACACTATAAGCATATTGAAGAGGAAGGACAGCCTTAGTTAGGGCTGAAGATTGACAGCCAAAGAGTCTGGGTTCTGTTCCCAGCATTGCCCAGGCTCACAAATTGCTTTGCGACCTTGGCAATGTTATTGTTCACATCTGTAAAATGGGAACAATACGACTTGCCTCCCTCCCACATAGCTGAATGGTTCACAAAGAGGTTAGGAAATGCTTTGAGATTATACATGGAGGCTGCATCTAGACTGGCAAGTTTTTCCGCAAAAGCACTTGCTTTTGCGGAAAAACTTGCCAGCTGTCTACACTGGCCGCTTGAATTTCCGCAAGAACACTGACAATCTCATGTAAGATTGTCAGTGTTCTTGCAGAAATACTATGCTGCTCCCGTTCGGGCAAAAGCCCTCTTGTGCAAATGCTTTTGCGCAAGAGGGCCAGTGTAGACAATGCGGTATTGTTTTGTGCAAAAAAGCCCTGATCGCGAAAATGGTGATCGGGGCTTTCTTGCGCA